TCTCAATGATGTATTCCCAAAAATTTAAGTTTGAAAACTAAATTTTCTATAGGATATAAGTATTGTACTCCAAAGCACATATTGTTATTTTATCTATACCCTAAAAAATAATTATTGTTTCTTCCCTACAAACATAAAATGGTGGAATGGAAAGTATGCAATCAGAGGTCAAACGTATGAATCCAAAGGTGGGCGTGAATTGGTTCAGCTTTATTTTGTCAGCCATATCTGTCATATACCATTAAAAGGTCCAAGGTGTATACAATGTTAATTTAGAGAATCAGACCTGACCAATCGATCTGACTAGTAACAGTTCACCACACGGTTTGATCAGTTTCTAAAAACCTGGAAAGGCCAAAATTTTGTTTGGGCACATTATCATGAGAGTGAGCAAATAGTAATGTGAAAATCTATGATGTGGGAAAGATATGATATGAAAAGAGTTTTGACCAATCAAAATCTATCTATGAATTTTGATAAATAACATCTTATTCGCTATCAAGTTTATGATTCCATTTTATTGGTAAGTTGGTTTTTAGATATCATATCTTTTCCATATTGATGATGCGCAATCCGGCCGGTCTTAGCTATCAATGACCTTGCCTCTGAATTGAGTAGCGGGGACCTGAAACGGAGGAGATGAAGAAGCTCCGGGGAGAACCCGGTGTAAAGGCTCCGAAGCTTAAGTTAGAATCTTTCAAAGGCAAGATAAACCAGATAGCGCAAGGTTTGCATCCCTCCTCTTCGGGGGTGGAGCGCCTTTTATAACCACCTCGCTCACTCACTCCTAGACTCCTGTCAGGTTGGGAATGAGTATTTTCGTGCTTCTGCCAGTCCGGGCATCATCGCCCCTGCTGGGGCAGAACCGTCGCTGCTCCTTTTGTCGGAGCCGTCTCTGTAACTGGAGGCAGTGGTGACAGGTGACGGTGGCAGGTGGCCGTTGGAAATGCGGCCGTCAAGCGTCAGATCCCAAGTCAGTCAGGTGCGTCGCCCCTGGATA